ACAGTTAAATTCAGAATCTCAAAACAAATCCTTTAAAAAATTATAAAGAATGTGCAGAAATTGCAAACAATGCATGGTTGAATAGATGTCATCTAGTGGCATAATGTAGTATTATAAAGAACGCCATCTATTGACATTAAGTCAACAGGTAGTTATTTTCTTCTTCATAAATATATCTAACTATGTTGAGTTAATTGCCATCTGAATTTAGAAAAAATAATAATTTTATTGTCCTTGCTGGAATGACGCCATCTACATTTAAATTTGACATTGTTCTTCCTCTTGGGCCATTACCATTTTATGCTTAACTCCTTGCTGGGATGACGCCAGCTACATTTAAATATGACATTGTTCTTCATCTAGGTCCATTGCCATTTTATGCTTAACTCAAGAAATTAGTCCCGGAAGGGTGTTCATTAAAATGTGCTTGTTGAAAGTACGCCATCTATACTTCATATTTGCAAATATTTTTCATATTAGTCTTGATAGCAAAAAAGTAACAGGTATCTTTATTTCTGTGATTCTTCTGAGTACTATATTCGAAACCGAAGAGTATGAATTTCGTAAATAATATTTAATATATTATGCTCGGTGAAATTACGCCATCTATACTTCAACCTGACGTTGTGCTTCATTCTTGACTCCAAGTAAAATGGAACTATAGTATACATTTTTTCCAATCTTTCTTTAATAAAATCTTCAATCTTTAATAAAATTTCTTCACAAGCAATTTTCATCAATTTTTGCTTTGTGAAATTACGCCATCTATACTTCAATCTGACATTGTTTTTTTTATCTTTTGTCTATAGCAAAATTCAACTGCAAGCAACTTTTTATAATCTGTATCATTTTATTCCTTTGAGTAATCTTAGAAGGAAAGATTTATGAACTTTGTTGCCTTGCAAGAAAATATTGTTTTTAATGCTCTTGGTAAAATGACGCCATCTATACTTCAACCAGACATTTTTATTCATAATAAAATGAAACTGAAAAATTTGTATATTTTTTTTTGAGTAATCTGAGAATGTAAGATTTATGAATTATCGGAGAAAAATAACCTGCACGGAAGAGTATTGATTTTGCAAACAATATTGATGAAAGACGCTACTATACTTAAACTAGGCACAATTCTTCATTTATGACTTCCATAGTGTTGTACAAAGTCTTTGTCGTCCTACGTCTTTGAGTCATCAGAGGATTATGATGAATTTCTACACCAAAGTGTCTAAATCAAACAAATATGGTGTTTGGTGAACTGACGCTACCTATACTTCACTCTGACATTGTATATTATAGCATTTTGTATGAGAATTAGTAAAAAAAAACATGAAAATTATCAAAAAATCGGATCTGATACAAACATAGAAAGAAGATTATTTTCTTCAAAGCTCTATCAAAATTAATTGTCCCTTGATTTAAAGCACTATAATCTCCATCATAGGGAATTCATATAAATGAAATATAGATGGCGTTCTTTATTACACATACGAAAGTTATAGCAAACTCATCTAGAACAAAGTTTTGAAGAATTCGACAAAAAATTAAAGAACCACCGATGTTTCTGAGGGTTGAATTTTCCACAGACCAGTGCAGATTAAAATGCCACATGAAAATGCATTTTTTCAATGCCTCACACTTTGATGATAATTTCAGCAATCATTGAGAGCTAAACAATCCGAAATTAAATAATTTCCCTTCCTCTTTACTACGTCCTCCTAAAATAAGAATGGGAAATCCTATCCCTCAAAGATTTAGGCTCAATAGTAAATTTTGTTTAAATGTTGAGTGGACGATGAGATGTGTATTAGTTGTGCTTGGTAGCGCCATCTATACTTCAACTGAAATTGTTCTTTAGAGCGTTTTAGCTATTTTTTTTTTAAGGAAACAACAAAAATTTCATCTAAATTTGTAACAAATTGTGGCCTTTTATGAGTCAATGCTGTTAAATATATCAAACTCTTTACAAACGAACCCTGTCCTGTAGATGGCAGCACAATAAGCATGGTTTGGAAGTTATTCGGATTTCAAAAATATAGAAAGTTTCAGTAGGGACCAACTCAGAATGAGAATGAATGAGAGTGAAATTGCCCTTTTCCCACTCAATAGCATGATATCTTAAAGCGACGTCTTCCTAGCGTCCATAATTAGGTCTGGAACAACGTTATAGCTTTGAGGTATAGATGGCGTTCAGTAGAATGTTTGTATAATACCAATAATATTTTGAAATCCGATTCTTTTAAATTAGAGCGTTCTTTGCCATTTCAAAATAAAATCAAAGGAAATTCTGGCTATATTTGTTACAAATTGTGGCCTTTAATACTTCAAGGCGTCTGTAATAGCGCAAAATGTTCACGTACATGTTTAAACCCGTCCTGTAGATGGTAGCACAAGAAGAATAGATCGTGCGGTATTCAGATTTTAAAGAAGGTTTAGAAAAACGACAGTCTCACATAATTTGAAGAGGAATTGCTTTTCTCCAGTCCCAATACATGATATATATAGCAGTGACGTCTTCACAGCGTCCATAATTTGCGACTATTTTAAATTGATAAATTACAATGCCCTAGAGAATGCTAAGATGATTATTTTCAGATTTCTAATTTTTGCCCAATATCAATTGATGGCGTTCCCTGCATTCATTGTTCTTGATAATTGAAAAATGTAACTAATATTTAAATAGCCCAACATCAACAGATGGCGCTTCCTGAATTTTGTATAGCAGATCCTTTGTTCTTGATAACTAATATCACAATTTCACTAATACTTACTCTGACAATATCGAAGAGGAAGTTACCGGAACCAGCACCGCCGGCACCACCAGCTGAACCCGAGCTAGAGCCAGAGCTGGCTCCACCAGCCAAACCGGCACCGCCAAACTGCAAGAACCTTTTGAAAATATTGCTAGACATGAGAAATTTGCAACAACATCATCAAGAGTTGGGTGGAGTGTGTGGTTAGGGATGAGAATTCAAGTTTTTTTTGTTTGTTGTTACCCAAAAAATGTAAGCAAAAAGTTTTTTTTTTTTGAAAAGAAAAATAATTCGTTTAGGGTTAAAATTTTGTGGCCAAATTATCTTCAATGCTAGGTATGGATGTAAAAATGGATTATTTCAAATGTTTTGAGGTTGAGAATATGAAAATGGTTTATATGTGTTTTTTTTTAAATTGGAAAATCTGAAAACTTACCTCTTGTTTCTGTCATCCAAATCGGCTGTGTCCTCGTTGGAGTCCAGGGACAATTCATCAATGGCCGGCGACTTGGATTCGCTCAATTGCAATTCATTGCTGATCGATTTGGACTTGTCGTTGCTGGTCAATTCATTGTTGAAACTGAGCTGAATGGTTTCCTCCAATTTGGGTTGTGATCCGGATGGTATGGGCAATTGAGCTGGTTGTTTCTGTTCGGCGTTTTGGAAAACAGCAGCGGCGGCAGCAGCAGCCTCGGCTTCTTTGACTTGACGGGCAACACGAATGGTCTCTTCCAATTGTTTATTAATGGCCGATAAATCGATTTGTGTATCAGTGGCACCATTCTTTTAAAATTGAATTTTTTTGTTGGAAGGAAGGGAGAGAGCGAGCGAGAGAGAGGCAACGTGCAGGATAACGGAAAAGAGGGGAAGGGGCATAATTTTGTCATGGGGTCACAAGGTTTCCGGGCGGGTGCAACAAGAGAACATCATCATGCAACGTTGAAACATGTAGCGAATATTTGGTGTTTATTTTGTATGGTGTTGCCATATAGTGTGGTTGTTAAACATTCAACAGGGTTGCCACATGTGTGTTTTGACATGCATTTTGTTTTGTTGTTGTTTTTTATTTTTATTTTTTGGGAGGTGTTAGTAAAAAGTTTTGGATAGGAGAGAGAGAGTGATAGATAGAGAGAGAGAAATAGATAGGATAGCATAGAGAGGTGGGATAGAAATGAAATGGGATTTGTTTAAAGGGGAGAGGAGTAGGAGCGGGAGAGGATATTAGGAGAGATAAATGACAATGATGGTGTTACCAGACATATAAAAAATGTTCCATGCCGTGCATTTTTTGGGGAATGTTTTGTGTTTGGTTTTTTTTGTAGAGAGTGTTTGGGATTTGTTTTTTTTTTTTGAGGTTAGTTTCGAACACAATTTTCATTACATTTACATTTTATGAATGCACGTGCATAATGATGTATTTTGTATACATTTTTTGTGTTTTTTTTTTTGGATTTTTTAGAGATGATTTATTTTTTTTATTTTGGATTATTTTTCACAAGTCGGTTTGAGAGATTTTTTTGGAATGTGGTATGCGCATGAAAGAAAGAGAAAAAAGAAAAACAAAAAGCATGAGAAATCATGATCAATCAATATGGAGTATTTTGCTTTCGATTCAAAACAAAAAAGTTCTATGCTAAAGTCTAAAAATTTAACTAAAAAAAATATATATTAATTATACAATAATATGTTAATCGAAATTGTTAATAAATGTCGAAAAGAATAGCCTAGAGAAGACAAGGCCTAGATACAGGTGCGGCACCTAACAGACGGTCAAGTTAGCGGAAGTTAGTGTTAGATAACGGAAATATAAGAGAGAGTGAAATAAAAGTAGGAAATGTTTTGAAATGAATATTTGTTTTATGAATTTTATTTTTATTTTCGATGATTCGAGGAATAGCTGGTGTTGTTGTATTTGCCAATTTTTTTGTGGTGGGTGGGAATTCTTATTTGCTTATAAATTTCGCGTTTCTGGAGTTCTGTTTGAAAATAATTTGAAAAAAAAATATTTTGTCAATTAAAACCAATTCTCTTTCTCCACATAATTTTTGTTGTTGTTGTTGTAGCAAAATGTTCTCCAGTTTTCCAACTCACATTTGTAGCTCTTCACATTTTCTTATGAAGTTGTGGTGGATGCTGTTGTCGTGGTGGTACTGCTCGAATCTGAACTGCTAACAACTTCGTTGTCTTCATCTTCTGGCTCGAATGTCTCCAATTCAACTTGGACACGAGTGGCGCCCGATGAGCTATTGTCATCGTCATCATCAAAATCAGCATCGAAATTGGCACGAGCACGATTGGCGGTATTACCCTGGACAGCGGTACGCAAAATGGTGGGGCCCAAGGTGCGCAAAATTTTCGAAATAATCATATTGGCCTGGGCATCGATTTGCTACAACAGCAACGTTTAGGTTTGCATAGGTGGATGGTGTTGGGACGGGGATAGTTAAGAAATTTTAATGTTTGTTTGTTGTTGTTGTGGCGGGGTAAATAGGTTTCAGTTTTTTTTTGGGTGGAAAAAATTAACAAAAGAAAAAAAGAAGGATTTTGTAATGAATTTTTATGTTGGTATACCAATTAGAAAGGAAGAGGAGATAGAGCTGATTAGGTGGATGAGTTTATTTTTTGGGTGAGGAACCTTTTTGTCGCGCTATTTGTGTGACGAGGCTAAGCGATGAACGATAGAGCTTTACAAACGCGGGGTAATAAAAAAAAAAAAAACAATTGCAAGCAGACAGAACTGAATTTCCGACCAAGACAAGAGAAAAATGAATATATTTATGTCTATTCTTCTTGCCTCTTTATGCAAAAACATTTTTTCCCTTCAATGTACTAACCTACGCAGTTTAATCTTTTTAAATTAGATAAAATATTTATTTGCAATTAAAAAAAATAGAAATATATATTTTTGCATAATTGAGCGCCATTTAAATTTTAAATAGCTGCAAAATTATTGTATAATAAGACACAATTTTTAAACCTGATATCATCAGGCGGATTATTTTGTAAGGGTCTTATTATGAGCCCCTTATTGGGCACCAATTATCATAAAAATTAAATATCCCGGTTCAGTAACTTTTTGAAAGAAGCTATCCATTGATAGGGACTGTTCAACTTTATCTCGCTCTCAAGTTATCGAGTTCTTGATCTTTACTTCTCCTACTCCAGATAATATTAGGGAACTAGTTCCCATTCAGTGTTAGAGGAAGAGAGTGGATACACAGTGTGAACTGCAGTTCACAGGGGAACTAGTTCATTGAATTTGAAAGTTGAAACTATAAACAAAAAAGGAAAAAAGGAGAGCTCAGTTGTTTTGCGTCACGAATAATTTTGCGCTAGTAACTAGTTCGCATAGAAGAACTAGTTCACTTGAAAGAAACTGGCTCAATCCTCCTAATTTGGAAGATAAAAGAAAATCCAAATTGTATTTACATTACCCAGAGTCACCTGAGAGAAACTGGTTAATTTCTGTCAATTAGGATGATCAAACTATGAACTTAAAAAAAAACCATTCAGTTGTTCTGTACAGTTCACAGGTGAACTAGTTCCCTTAATAAAAACTGGTTCATTACTCTTAATTTAAAAGTTGAAACTATGAACTAAAAAAAGGGAAACAGAGAACTTAGTTGCTCTGTGTAATATTAAGAAAGGCGACCCGAGAACAGAAGTTCTTTGCAGTTCACAGAGGAACTAGTTCAAACTGGTTCCATCCCCTTAATTTGAAAGATGAAACTATGAACTAAAACGAAATGAAAAACAATTCAGTTGTTCTGTGTATCAATAATAAAAGGAGCTTGTATATCAGAGTTATGTAGTTCACAGAGGAACTAGTTCACTGATAATGAAACTGGTTCACTGATAATGAACTGGTTCATCTGAAAGGAGTTGTACGAATCTTGCCGTTATATCTACTTTGTTAACTAACCTTACAAATTTATCCATTAAAACAAATCCAGCATCGAAGACTAACTGTCGATTTTGAGAGTTGGTTGTTTGCAAAATTTTTCTTAATTATATAGATTAATGTTTGGTTTCAGCTAAAAATTTAGAAAAGTCTCATGCCTTTCGTATTATCTATCAAATTATTTGTTAAAATGAATATGATTTATAAATATTGTTACCCAGCTAAAACTACCGATATAAACAATTACTAAATTACAGACATTGGTGTTCCAAGTCAATGAAGAGCTTTAATTGCAAAACGCATTGGCACCATTGCGTGGCAGCATTTTATGTATAAGAATAAAGAAGAAGTGCGACCTAATTAAAATGCGGCTCTCACAGTTCTTTACTATTTTAGCAGGGATTCTTTAACTAATTAACAGTTTTATAGATTAGCACAATTTTTCAATTCTAATTTCGTTGATTAAGAAAAATTGCCGATAAGTTAGCGATGCTAATGAAGTACTCGCTAAGGCCCTTGGTAGAAGAATACAGGTAGATGCATCAACGCTGGGGAACATTATTATGTCAAAATTTAATATGTTTTGACAAAAATAACTAGATTTTTATATGTTTTGACAAAAATAACTAGATTTTTATATGTTTTCTTATACGACACCAATCAAGGCTTGTTATGATATGCATTTTTCAACAATTTTTACAAATTTAAATAATTTTTCATTCAAAAATTTTGGTTTGACAGTTCATTGCCCCAGCAGCTGTGTCAATGCCACGGACCTATTCACGGATTCTATTCTTCTGCCATGGACCTATTCATAGAAACCGATTATGTTTTGCATGAAAATTTTGCGTTTTTAAGTCACAGATTTTTGTCGTTTTTTTAGAGCATCCCATTACAGATGTGGTGCCAAGCAATGGTGTAAGAGTTGCCATGAGAATTATGTGTCTTCAGCTTTAGAACATATACACAAAGAAGCTGCTAAAAATCAAATTATGTGGCAACACGCAAAATATCATATGGCAAACAAAATAGATGCGTTTGAGCGTTTTGCGTTATCGATATATTGACAACAATAGAGAACCGATGAACGAGCGATTTAAATTTTAACAATAAAACGTGAAATGATAAAATGCACAACGCGTTCATTCTGTTTTGGCCTTTGTAGGCCGATGAGTGTGTTTTGCAAAGAATTTTTCATCTGATTTAAATTTTTTAACAAATTAGTCTAAACTAGGCGTTTTAGACAAGCAGCTTCAATGTGTTTTTTCCTTCGTCGTGAGGGATTATATCTAAAAACGCTATACACATTAGCAATATTACGATTTGGAGCATCGCCAAGCTTCATTTTGACTTTAAATATGTGGGTATAAGTCAAAAGAAATCCTAATGATACTCTAAACCCAATAATATTTGAAAACGTTAATATCGTTTGAGCGATTGTGTTGGAAATGATTTAAGCCCCTTTCTTCATTGACCTGAAGCTTTTGGTAATTTTAATCAAGTGAAAAAAAATTTATATTTATAAGGAACTACAAACGATGAAATACAACTATGAATAAGATATGCTCTGTTCCAGAAACTGCAAAAATTGCAATTTCTTTCGATATCATAAAGGAAAAATCGGTTATCGTATTGTTTACATTCTTTGCAGGTTCTGGAGAACGGAGCTTAAGTATATATAAAATGCCGAAAAACAAATGAAAATACTCTCAAAATTTCTTTTGCGAAAGAGAGAGAGAGTGAGAGACAAAAACTAAATGTGCTATCGATTTGTTTTTTTCGGTTATGAAGTGGTGATGAATCAATCCTATGGGTGCAGTTGAGATTTCCAAATGATGATGTGCTTTGTTTACTCTTTTTTCGCAGAGCGTCGATTATGTTTCAAACTACAGCTGATACTAAAACAGAGTTGTATTTTCTATAAAAATATATGGGGATGTACATATCGTGGAGCGATGATATCAAATCTACAGTTGGATTCGTTCGATTAGTTGATGACATTACTATCGACGGGTAATAGTTTGGTAATTTTGGGTGTTGTTGGAACTGAAGTTGTTGTTGATGTTTGGGTTGTAGGCGTAAATCCTGTTGTGTTGTTGTTGTTCGGCGATGATGAAGACGATAAATTATCTCTACTGGCAATAAAATAATTGGTACTATTTAATAAACGATTTAAATTATCGATAATTTCCATCAATTGTAAACTATTGCCACTGGCAGGGTTGCCATTATTGGCATTACCTGGACTGGGCAATAAATCAACATTTGATGTTGTTGTGGGGAAATTGTTAAGGGAATTTGTTAAAATTATATCGGAAATTGGAGGATTTGGACGTTGTGTGGGAAATGTGGAGGTTTCTGGTGTGGTGGGTAAGGTTGGGGTGGAGATTTGTGGAATTGAGGAAGTAGTGGTTGGCGGATTATCTCGGGTTGTTCTTTGGGGCACAATGTAAATGGGACTTGAGGGAGTGGTTGAAGTGGTAGTGGTGGTGGTTGGAATTTCAGTTGTTGTTGTGGTAGTAGTTGGAGGAGGTTCAGTGGTAGTTGAGGTTGTTGTGGCGGGAGTGGTGGTGGTAGTTGTGGTAGAGGAAGGAGTAGTTGGACTGCTAGTCGTTGTGGTTGTAGTTGTTGTAGAGGATATTGAGAAACTTGTCTCGGAATTTCTGGAACTCACATTGCTTGAATCAGCACTGGTCTGGGGTGGAAATGTGGGTAAATCGATTTTCACCCGGGTATTATCAGCATCACCACCATTACCATTAGCGGTGTTGCTCGCCTCCGTGGTAGATTTACTTTCATTATCAATGGAATTATTCGAACCCACATCCTCCTCATCTTCGTCGTCATCATCATCGAAATCGGCATCGATATTGGTACGTGGCGTCGAATTACGATTGCCCAATACGGCACGCAATACATCTGGACCTGCAACTCTTATCACTTGGGCAATAATACGATTTACAATATCATCTATTGTCTATGCAAACACAACAAAGGAACATTTTTTTTGCAAAAGGAAGGAAATTTGGGTTTTTATCAAATTTAAACAAATTCAAATTTTTTTTCCAAAAACTACTTCAGATGACCGTGTTTTCACAAATGAAATGGCCAATTTACTTGATCCGTTGATTTCAATTTTTAAATGTTAAATGTTTTGTTTGTGAATACTTAAAAGGAGGGGTTCGGCAATAACATGCAAAATGTAAGGTGGTCTTGTTTGTGTGTTAACAATTCAAAGTGAATTGCTTGGTGTCTATGAACTAAATACCAATTGATCCCGTTTTGTTTCTGTTGGGGGATTTTCAGGGGATTTTTCCCCCCTTTGCCAACTGGGCCAATTATAATTTAGTACTAAAGTGCCATTATGTGTGGGAGTGTATTTTGATTTTGGTTTGGCATTGCCATTTTTAATTGTCATTTTTTGTGACAGTTCTTTTGATGTCTTTGGAAAACAATACCATTTGAACCAATTAGTTACAATACTTTTTTTGCCAGCAGCTGTTTACCTTCTAAAGAAAAAAGTGCTGCCCAATTTAATTTCATATACGCATGATATGTTGAGTTGCCAATCACAATAAAGCTAGGATTGCCAATTCGAGGAATTAATTTGTTCATTTTTAAAAGAGTGATGCCAATCATTTTTTTTTTTTGTAATTTTACTTCTTCTTTTAATTTTTTTCTGTGTTGATTTTAATTTTTATCTCCAATTCCTTTTTGTGTGCCTGTATTCGTTCTCAGTGACTCAAATTCTTCATCGGGTTCGTATTCAGTTAAATTTGCTGGTGTGGTCACATTTATTGCCGGCTCTACAACATCATCGTCGCCTATGGGTGAGGGTGGGGCACTAAGGCTGGGATTCAAGGCGGTACCCAGTATGCTGGGACCCACTTGTACTAACAATCTATTGACGTAGCGATCTATTTCCTGGTTGATTAGCTGGCAATAATATTAAGCGTATGATTTAAACGCCATTTTTACACAGTCTTTTTTTTTGACAGCTACACGACTCATTTGACATGTGTCAATCGCATAACGCACCCTAATCAATCAATTAGTGCTGTGCATTTTTTTTATTAAGTTTTTCAATGTAGCTAAACTAATTTTTTTGTAGTTTATGATGTTAACCTAAAGATTTAATGGTGTGCTCTATCTTACCAACTACTATTGCAAATGCGCATATCTAGATTTTTTTTGGGTTTTAGTAATGTCACAATGCTTTTCTATGCTAATGTGGTTACTTTTTTTGTTGTGGTGGTCTAGTCTAGTATGGTTACTCGCTTACCTTAGTTAAATCGGGAAACAGTTCACGTAGTAAACCAATTGTTCGCTTATTACGTTCTGCAATGAGTTGTTCTTGGTCATTGGAACCCAGTGTTAGAACATCCAATTCCTAAAAAAAGAGAGAAATGAAAATTAATATGGATTTCGTAATTAAATATTGATAATGAACTAAAGACCTACACAACTTTGTATATGGAACCTATGAACTAGTTCCAAACTGAACAAATTCAAAGTAAATATTCAGTAGAGGAAACCATGGTAATGTCAAATGTCTTGTAATGTCAAAACAAAAAAACTGCGACCAACTTCAGACTGCTGTCATTTCTAAACCACTCGTCCGACAACTGTCAAAATTTATTCCAGTGACAGCTCATTATATTGTTTACAAGCATACAAAAGCAATTTGGGGAGAATTTTCCAGAAAAAAAGTTATTCGTTATGGCTTTCGTTAGAGCACTCAAGCATTGAAATGTGAATAAATCTTTTGTGTCTCGTACCGTCGTCCTCTTAGTATTAAGTTAACATGTGTCGTGTGTAAGTAGAATAAGTTTAAATCTCAATAAAGCCGCCAGCTAGAACGTAAGCGTATCTTTCCTTCAATCCAGTAGGAACTGAACATTTTGTTCAATTTATACGACGCCAAATTTTGATTTCTATTGTAAATCGCCTTAGCCGTAATGATAAAGTTTGAAGTTTGGCAAAGGTTTCCACAGAACATAATGGCGCCCAAATTTGTTTGGTAGTTCTAAAAGCCACTGTCCCCACAAATTTTTGTCGTTTGACTTTTTTAGTCTTATATTTTCGACATTTACCAGTTGTGAAAGTTCACAATTTCCCACGAATCTTCTATTTGCCTTTTTAGATTAGGGTTATATTTTTTAGTTCATTTGTCAAAAGTTCTGGAGAAGTTCAACACATTAATTACCAATAGTTCCTTGAACTATTCATTATTATTTTCCCCCATTTGAAATATTAAATGAATTATATATTATTGTTGACCCATTAATAATGATACCGAGAGTTCAGAGTTCGGCTTTACTTTATGATTTATTGCAGATGAATAAAAATGACCGAGAGGTCAAAGTTTTATACTTCTTAGGATCTGTTTTACTCTGTCATAACATTTTTTATAATTATTTGAGTTAATGTTCCTGTGTAGCCAATCAAGTGCTTCAGTTAAAATTATTTCACTTAAAAAATTTCCATACTCATTTTTAATAACAATAACCCCTACTTAAATATTCTCCACATTTTTATAAAAAAAAAAAAAAAAAACTTATTACAATTGTCTTGAAAATTAATATGCCCATGAAGTCAGGGTAACGTGTGATTTGTTTCAATGCTCCAGACAAACGTTTAGGTTTTTTAATTGAGTATTTTATTGATTGGCGTCATTAGTATTTGTTTGGAATTGTAATTTCTTAATTAATGTTTATATGCTGGCATAGTTAAACTATGAATCATTTTCTATAATAAATTGAACACCCTCAAAACCACAAATTAAAAAAGTTCTGACATATTGAGTATTAAAAAGTTTCAATTTTCAGTTTGAAAATCGTTATTTGTTTTTAAACTCAGCTTGTGTCTATAAAACTAACACCTCTCCATCCATCTTGTCTTTATTTCCTTATTGCACAAAATTTCTACCATTATCGTTGTCACCCGAAGTCTTCAGCAAAACAGAAACTCTCCTCAATTTACAGTGCAACGATTTCCTTCCCTATTCAATATATTACTTTAACATGAAGCGAGTAACAATTACATGTAATTTTCACTTTTGGCTATTTGCACAAGTAATTGTTGTTGTCAGGTGATAGACAATACAAAAAGCCTCCTAGGAAAAGTGTTAACAATGTAACCGTACTATTTATTGTGTTTGTAAAACATTGGATTTACATTTGTAACAGTAAAGCACTATGTTCACAACAATGGCCATGAAGTACACTTAGGCCTCATTTTACAATTTGCTTTCATTTTTAAATAATTTCAAATAAAATACCAATATTTTTTTGGGGAAAATTACTTCTCAAAAGCAATTTCTCTCATCAATCCGTAATAGTCAGAATTTTTTTTGTATAAATTGAGTAGAGAAACTAGATAGAAAACTCGCTCGAAGCTAAATAAGAAATTTGAAAGAAAGTTAAACGGATGGATGGAAAGTTAATGGATAATCTGCAAGAATGTTAAAGCTTTTACTAAAATAACCGATTTTCCCTTTATTACAACGGAGACAATTGCGAAACTAGTAGATTATTGCAGGTTCTGAAACAGACCATTTATTATTATATATTAATAGTAATTGGTTCACTTGTTCCTTTAAGTGAATACCTACTATCAAATCGGCTAGTTGTCATATCATAAAGAAAAAAATCGGTTATCGTAGACAAAAGTTTTACATTCGTGGAGTTCTGAAACAGAGCATCGTAGTACCGTGGTGTAATTTCAAAACGAATTAGTTCAAAGAAATTATTCTCAAAAAGGAAAGATTGGAACTATATTCAGAGATGTAATTCCTTTAGTTATTCCAGTTTCAAGTTCATTTCATTCTTAATAAGAACCAATGAAAATATGTGGAAATGGTTTTCACTTGTTACACGTTAAAAGAGTAGACTAAGGATTTAAGAAAAAGGGAAGATTGAGCGATCTGAAAGCAAAAATAGAACGACAGCTAAAAGGAACAACAGAACTAAAAGAAGCGAAGGGACTAGTTCCACCTTGAGGATTAGGAAATAATCAGATTGTTTAACTCTAATGTTAGAAGTTTTTGCAAGGTTAACCTACTTTAAGAGGATTTATTTTTAGGTTTAAGTAATGAATATGACAATTTTAATCCGAATCCAGTGGGTTAACCCACTTATACGAAAAACGTACTGTAAGATACTCAACATGATGGTAGCATGGCAAATTACATCGAAATGTGTATTAGTGTTGAAAATAAAATGAAAGTCCAAATATATCAATAAGATCATAAGCAAGCCGTTGCATTTTCATTTTTCCGTTGCAATAATTAATGTAAACATACCCTTAGTGTTAATATTTAATCACAATGATGCAACTCTGTTACTAAATAACGCAAACTTGAATTCGATTTATGTTATATCTATTATAAATAACTCAGCTATTGCGTTATTAAATAACTGTGTTCTAGACGACAGTTTCATTTCTCAAATATAGAAGCTAAGAAAGAATAAATTGAAATAAATCACTCATACAGCGATCTCCATTCTAACATGTTGCATTGTAACCACCAGATAAGATTGCTGTAGACGCTAACAAAAAAAAAAAAAAAATACTTTGAGCCTCGTTCGTCTTTGTTGATGTAGAATTTGCGAAACAAAGCCGTTTCATTGGCGCCCAATGCAGAACCCGCGGAAAACACTAAGAAAGCCGTTTTAACCAAAGTAATAACTCTGCACACAAATGTTATATTAGTATTATCTTTAATTTCTTTTGTTTTTATAAATTTCGATACATTTTGTTGTATTAGTAGCTTTTTTTCTCTATCTAAGATCCTTACGTTTGCCAGATGAGCTGTGTGTTTATTCCCATTTATATATATATTTTCATCAAAACCTTTAAAAGACTATAAAACAACACCATTAATTCATTTGGAACCAGGGTTTTTTAGTCGGAGTCTGGTAAATTTTTCTGGGGTTGGAATCGTGAAAATAAGCTCCGAGTATTGTTTCTTCTTTAGATAATTGTTAATTTTTTATGACAGGTTTTTATCGGGCTTTTTTGTTCAGAATATTTTGAAATTAAAATAAGATTTTATTTCATTTTTGCTCGACGTTTCGTTGATTTTTTCCTAACATTATCAAGTGCTTGTTTATTTGAAATTCCGAATTATTTTTAATTTTTATCTATTATTTTGCATTAAGAACTGAACTCCACATTTGTGTATATTATTTTTTGGCTATTCAATGTTTTTTGTATAAAAAAACTGCTGAGAACCAAAAAACGAGGCCTTAGTGTAAAATGGCTTAACCATTAAAACTCAAATAGAGAGGGCGCCAAACATTGTGTGAGAGAGTGTGTTGTTGGATGCTCAACAATCATTAAGATTTCATGTTGACTACTCTACTCCATGATTTATTTTTGCCGTTGTTGTTTAACATTTGATCTTTCCGTTTTTTGTTTTTTTTTTTTTTGGTCTGCGAACAATGGCAATTGTTGTTATTATTGTTTAGAATCGTGGGAGTAACTCTCGTGTCAGTTTGGCTCGTGCTGTCTGATGCCAGTCAGATAGTCAGCATGCAGCTATGTAGTGCGATGACAAATGAACATTTACTCTGATATACAATGGCTCAAGAGTTATTAGTGAAGGCGTCGCTTAGGTTCATTCACATGATGAGGTGTTAATTAATTGTTAATTACAGTAACAATTTTTTTTTCGTTGGAATTATTTAATTATTTTGAGAGGGAGGGAGAAAAAATGTGTTGAGAATTAAAGTACTTGTGGTGGAAATGCTTGGATTGGTAGTTTTTGAGTTAATAACAATATTAAGAGAATATTAAAAACATCAAAAATTTATAATAATCTCACTGTGACAGACGACGACGTAAAAGAGACCATCATTCCAAGCAAGTCAAAGAATGGTGATCTGAGCCAGCTGGAAATTGAGGAGGATCGAAATGATGGAAGGGAAAAAACCTTCTGTATGCACTGATAAGAAACATTATTAGGATCGAAGTAGGCTAGATTAGATTAGTGTGAGTAGCTATTTAGATTTAAAAATTGTGAAATAAAACCAGAATTGATTCTCAATTTTACATTTGGTCCTTCGAGCCACATAGAATTATTTCTATACCCTAACGAAACGGTAGTGTAAGTCTTCTCATTTTTTACATTTAGTCCCTCGAGCCGGATTGAGAATTGAATCTACATCCTACACTGTGAATGGGTCTTGGGTAAAGTTTTGTTATAAAATCTCCCATGTTCCATCAATGTCACTCACGTACGTTTACATTGTGGCACCTAATAAATCGCAGTCCCTTGTTATTTTAAGTGTTTTCAATTTAACAATGCTCATATAATGTAGGTGTAAATATTTTTTTCTTTTGGAGTTTTGCACAAACAAGCACACTTCCACATGAAATTATGTAATC